CAGACATCCAAGGAAGGTACTTGGGCCATCTTTGGTCTCTCAACCTCTGGTGGAAACTACGAATGGCTTAGGAATAGACTTCATCACAGCGAACATCTTTGCGAGGGGGAATGAGAAAGCCTCTTTTTATAACTTCTTACATATGTCAGCCTGTGGTCTCAAATAATTATTATAGGCTTAATAACTTCATTTTCTATTTACTTGTAGTGCACATTAAGGCATATTTTTGTCACTTTGAGAAAAAGGAATAAGTAAATTGAATTATCGTTTTTTCCAATGAAAACTCCACATGACAATTTGAACTTTTTGAGAAGGCAACTGCAATAACCGCAATCAGGGGAAGAGCGGTCAGTGAAGTTTGCACCTTGAATGTCTCTCCATGGGGTGAACACTTACCTTCTTGTCCAAGCCATAGGCAATAGCAGCAGCGGTGGGTTCGTTGATGATTCGCAGTACATTGAGGCCAGCAATAGTCCCAGAATCCTTTGTAGCCTGGCGCTGGGAATCGTTGAAGTACGCTGGCACAGTTATGACAGCATTGGTTACAGTCTGGGGAAAAAGAGAGGCAATACATTTTTAATTCAAAGTGGAGAAGAGATGTTTCATCCAATTATGTCACTTTCTGCACAGAGTTTGTATGGTCTCCCCATGTTCCCCTGGGACTCCTCCAGGTGCTACGTTTTCCTTTTACACCCCAAAGACATGCTGGTGGGATAACTGGCTTCTAGGAAAACTGGCCCTGGTGTAAGCGTGTGTGGCTGTGTGCCTGTGCCCTGCGATGGACTGGTGTCCTGTCAAGGGTGTACCCTGCCTTGTGCCTGTTGCTTGCTGGGATAGGCTCGGGCTCCCCTGCAAACCTGTACTGGATAAAGCAGTTAGAAAATGGATGATGTCTCACTTTTCCAAGGTAAGCCTCTGCAATTTCCTTCATCTTAGTTAGCACCATGGAGGAGACTTCCTCAGGGTAGAAGCTCTTGGTCTCCCCTTTGTATTCAACCTCCACCTTGGGACGCCCATTGTCGCTGATCACAGTGAATGGCCAGTGCTTCATGTCCGACTGGACCACGGCATCCTCAAACCTCCGGCCAATCAAGCGCTTAGCGTCTGTCAAAAATCAAGTGACATTAAAGTCAGAAAAAAACAACTTCCAGAAACAAAAACACAATTCTGCTCTACAAAGACCTACAAAGGTGCTCGCTCAGACATCCAAGGAAGGTACTTGGGCCATCTTTGGTCTCTCAACCTCCGGTGGAAACTACGAATGGCTTAGGAATAGACTTCATCACAGCGAACACCGAGGAAGAGGTGCAACTTCTAATTCGGAAGTCGCATGCATTGCACTCAAACTGAAGTTTTTCCAAGAAATGAAATACGCTATTTTAATTTGTTATCAGGGACCAAGTGCATTTTTTGCACTTTCAATCGGACAAGACTGAACGGAAATCATGACTTACCAAATACAGTGTTCGTGGGGTTCATTGCAACCTGGTTCTTTGCTGCATCACCGATCAGCCTCTCGGAGTCGGTGAAGGCAACATAACTGGGTGTGGTCCTGTTGCCCTGGTCATTGGCAATGATCTCCACTTTGCCATGTTGGAAGACACCTACACAGGAGTAGGTTGTGCCCAGATCGATTCCAACTGCTGTTCCTTTAGACATGGTTTCTGAGACAAGAAAACACAGAGCTACATTCACCACATTGCCGATAGGGGGCGATACCGCCTACTTGCTCACAAAAGTCGAAGCATTAGACCTCCCCCTGGTGGACAACGAATACATTAGAATTCATTTTCCTACCCAACAAAAGCTCTCTGAAACCATGTAGTCTGCTTATAATACCCCTACCTTTGCAGGCCAGTCAAACCGCTAAAAGCCTAGAATGATGATTATACACAATTTTACATTTCTTAACACGATACTTTGTATTGAGCCCTTTAAGAAGTACTCCGAAGGTACAAGTACAACCAATGGGTTTAAATTATTAAGCATGATGTAACTGGCTTCGTTGTCACACAAGGTCACATTACCAACCAGTCCTGTGGTTACTGTTATTGTCTCCCCGCTGACTTGCAAAGAGCGTATACCCAAACCAGATCACGTCCCTGCATCCCCCCTCCCCTTGCTAGAATTAAAAGAGCGATCGCCCCAGCGGGTGAAGGAGGAGGTATCCGAACAGAGCTGTTATCCCGATTCGCAATCTGCTATAGCCTGAGAGAAAGAGTGAACCTCGCAAATAAGATTAGTGTTCCTAATTCTTTTGCCGATCATGACTGCGTGGGTTACGAAGCCCACGGCACCCCACGAGGGCTCCTGGAGACGAGATGAGCCCCTGCGAACTCCATTGCGTTTATAAAAAAAAATTGCATAATACTTTTTATGATTACTCGTACAACGGGGTACTGAGAGCGGGTAAACGGTTTTCGCTAACAAAAGAAGCGAAACCTTTTAACTAGTAACCGGCTTTTTGTAACAGCCGCATTTTGCGCACCGCCCGGCTGAAAGCCTGCGTAACGTGCGAGACCGCATGTGCGGGGATGGGGGATGGAGGATAGAGAATGGGGGGGGGACTTCTTTAAGGGCGGTGTAAAAAAAGGCTGCACACTGCACATCTCAGACTGCCCGCGGACCTGCAGAAAGACATAATGCGATTACCGGCGCTCATCCCCGGTGTCCCCCACCAAGGACACGCGGGGAAGGTGCCGCAGGACGCCGACTCTAACTCTTCCTTTTCTAAAACTCCCCCCAGGAGAAAGCGCACGGGGGTGACCCTCTCTGAGGAGCGCTGTGGGATACCCCACTGTCCCGCGTGATCGCCAGGGAGAAGCGACTGCTCCTTATAACACAGATCAGCAGCAGCATCGACCACGAATATTTTACCCTCCCCCCGAAAAAAGGACTATGCACGACGCGCCACCCCCGCAAAGGGACCACAGGGTAGAGGCATTGTCCCCAAGTCCCTAAGCGCCTGGCTTGTCCAGGGTTTGCATCAACTGGAACAAAGGTTACTGCGGCTGGGCCGATCATCTCATCCGTTACGGTAAAAAAAATAAATAAAATAAAAATTAATTAATTAGCACCAATTGCCTCCCCAAATAGGTCTCCAAATCTCAACGATCGTCTGATGGGAAAGAGTAAGTCCGGGACTGGGAAAGATCACGAAGGGTGTTCCCCCCCCGGAACGAGCACGATCAGAATTAGAATTACCTGCGTGGGCTGCTGTCTGGCACCGCTTCCCGAGCTGCTACCCTGCGTCCTGAGCTGCACACTGAGAGCGACTTCAACACCGGCGTCTCGCTAAGTACCTCGCCGCCCGCATCTACGGGCGCAGGGTGCACCAATCAGGCTCCTCGCCGGCAGGAGAAGGAGCGCCTTCCTCCAGCGCAGGCCCAGTCGCCCGCACCGTCTGACATGAGAAATAACACCCGGCCCGCTATTCGCTGGAGCAAGAAAAAAAAAATGGTTTGACCTCAGCAATATCTGATCTGGAGATGCAGTGCGGGCACCTGGAGACCGTCTCCTATGTCTCCCCTAAAATGCGTGTTGCAAAAGGCTAAACCCGGGACGCACGGGTTTTCTTTAAATTAGATCACCGGTCAGTATTAGAAAACAAGTTTTTAGCCTGCAGCCACCTTCCCTGTCTGTGCATCCGACTTAAAACGTCACTCTCGGTATCCGTGGGTTAAAATGAAAGTTTCAACCCCTCATCTCTAAAAGATTTAGAGAAGTCCAAACTGGGGGAAAGTAAGAGGGATCTGGCACTCTCAGGGTACCTGATCTCTTGTTAATCGGATAGGTGTCAGTTTGAGCCCTGGGCTCCTAAAACATTGATGAAGAAATGTGAGTGGAGGTATCAGTTAGTCTTACGTAATCATATACAGTTACCATCTCAGAATATTCTGGTTAATTAGTTGGTGTCTCCAAAAACATAACACAAAAGTAACTAGCAGAAAACCCTGCAACTTTGCTTTGGGGTTCCTTCCAGCTAGTGTCACACACCCCATAACCAAAACCACCTGGATGATTAATTCAAGTATATTGTCTTTAAACAAAAGATCTTCTATTACAGTTGCAAGAAAGTTTGTGAACCCCTTTGGAGTTACCTGGATTTCTGCATTAATCACTCATAAAAATGTGGTCTGATCTTCAACCAAGTCACAATAATAGAGAAACACAATCTGCTTAAACTAATGACACAATTGTACTTATCAATATTAAACAATTAAAACATTCACAGTCCAGGCTGGAAAAAGTATGTAAACCCTTGTATTTAGTAACTGGTAGAACCTCCTTTTGCAACTATAACCTTTAAACATGCAGCTGTTGTAGCTGTAGCTGCCGATAAAACTTACACAACAGTTAGGAGGAATTCTAGACCATTCCTCCTTACAAAGCCATTTCAGTTCCTTGATATTTTTAGGATTCCTTGAGTAAACAGCTCTCTTCAGCTCATGCCACAACAATTCAATTGGATTGAGGTCTGGACTCAGATCTGGCCATTCTAGAACACAAATTTCCTCCTGTTGAAGCCAGAAACTTCAGAAATGCTTTTGTAGCCTTTTCCAGCTTTATGCATCTCTACAATTCTTCTAAGGTCCTCGGATATTCCTTTTGATAAGGCCAAAGTTCACATAAACACTCCCCTTTCTTGAAAAGAGCAGACTCTGTCAGAACCCAACCTTTGTGTGCCTTTTTTATAGGGCAGGGCACCTCCAGCCCACACCTCCAATCTCATCACATTGATTGGAACACCTGACTGCAATTAGCTTTCGGAGAAGTCATTAGCCTAGAGGTTCACATACTTTTTCCAACCTGGACTGTGAATGTTTAAACGATGTGTTCAATACTGACAAGAAGAAGTACAATTGTTTGAGTGTCATTAGTTTAAGCAGATTGTGTTTGTCTATTATTGTGACTATATAGTTGAAGATCAAATCACATTTTTATGAGTAATTAATGCAGAAATCCAGGTAACTCCAAAGGGTCCATTAACTTTTTCTTGCAACTGTACGAGACATAGTAACCCTAATCCAGGCCCCCCGGGATTCAGATTTGTATGAGCAGAAATCCAAAGGGTTCATAAACGTTTTCTTGCAAGTGTATGTGTGACGGTTATATGAACAGTTCTATAGTTGGCGTACTTGACTTTCAATGTGAAAAGGGAGCTTTTAACAATCGCTGGTTCTATCCCCAGCAGGGTCCTGGCAGACCTGGAGCCCTGGAGCCCTGGGTTCGATTCCTGGGGCACTATCTGTGTGGAGTTTGTATGTTCTCCCCATGTTCGCGGGGGTTTCCTCTTGCAGTCAAGTGACATTCTGGGAGGGTAATTGTCTCCTGGGAAAGCTGGCCCTGGTGTGTGTGTGCCCTGTGGTCAGCCTGTGACCAGGGCATATCCTGCCTTGCGCCTGCTGTTTGCCAGAAAAGGGTCCAGCTATCCTGCAACTGCGTATTGGATAGCTCTGCCAGAAAACAGAAGGATACAGAATACCTGGGTATTCAGGTGACTTGATTATTCATCTGATATTTCATAGGTGTGTACCTAAACTTCCGGGATACTTTCTGTTTAATACTTTCTGTATTAAACCGTACAGACTAATGAAGCCCCCACCGCAAAAGCCCAGCCTTTTCCCTTTTTTTGCCCCCCAAAATATTTGTCTATTTTCCATCATCTGAGTTTTTGTCTGGGGCCATAGACAACACCTGGAAGCCACCAGAGTCATCTTAAATCTGTTTTCTTCCAAGCCTCGAGGTCTCATTTTGATTTTGGGCAAATATGAGTCTCTGACCTGCTTCAGGCTGTGTCCAAGTTTGATTTGTATTTCAGAAGTGAAATTCGGAAATCTGATCTGTAAGTGACCATTTGTCTGTGTTTTAACTCGAGTAAAAAATAAGTCATTAGTAATAAAAGTCTTTTGTAATCAGAAACCGTATCGCCCTTCTTTTAGCCGATGCCTCTGGCAAAAGAAGCCATTTGCCTGGAAAAAGAAGATTCTTGGGCAGGCTGAAGGACAACAGAGGATTTTGAAACCTCCTTTCTGATTCCGGCTCTAATATACCCTAATAAGAACGTAAGAACAACTACAAACAATAGGAGGCCATTTAGTCCATCAAGCTCAGTGGTAGTTTGTAGTCAAGTGATCCAATGATCCCATCCAGCTCTTTCTAGACTGGAAGTCACCTCTGGGTAAGTGCTCAAGGAGGAATGAGGAAATGAGGGGCTGGCAGTTTTAAACCGCGTGTGTGCGCTTTGGGCCACCAGGGGGAGCGACAGCAAATCTTTTCAGGAGGCGCAATATTTCTCTGCCCTTGGTTGCAAAAGGCCATGTAAGCGCTGGTGGAAATTAGACCCTTTTAAACGTGTGGCTTTGCATTTGCAGGGATGTAGAGCCAGCATGCCATTTCCACTGATGGAACAGTAAAGCACTTGACCATCCGTGGCAGGATGTGTTTAAAGATCCTTTGCCCAAAACATTTTTTAATAAATTGTCCATTCTAAATTTTCCTATTAAAAAATATAAATAATAAACAATTATCTTTTTTTTTTGCTTTAAGTAGTTGTAGACAGCTACTTAAGCTGAAGCTGAAGTTGTAGACAGCATGGTGGCATGGTTGTTAATATTGCTGCCTCACAATGCTCAAGCCCTGGGTTCAATTCTGGACCTAGTGTGCTATCTGCATGGGATTGGTATGTTCTTCTATGTTTCCTCCAGGCAATCTGGTTTCTTCTGACAGTTCAAAAACATACTGGTAGGTTAACTGGCTTCTGAAAAACCCGGCGCTGGTGTGAGTGTGTGTGTGATAGAATCTTTGTCTACCTTGTGATGAGCTAACATCCTGTCCTCTGGAACCAAACGCCTTGTACAAAAGTGACGCTTCTCCTTATTTCCAGCAGAGGTTCACAGGTATCCGCATTTTCCATTGTTCCATCTTTCCTGTCGATGAAAGGTTCAGTTACAAACTCGCCTCTAATGTCCCTCCCTAGTTCAAAAAGAAGGACAGTGCCCAGGACTGGAGTTGGGAAGCAATATAATGCATACCTCTTCCATTAAAGGAGGCCAGACACAAGTCTACTCCTAAATCTTTTCAGCTCTTGGCTTTAATGTAATCCAGTATGGAGCTCCCACGCTGATGCTCGAAAGCCGTAGGCTGCTCTGGTCTACTGTCTATTGAATTTCTGATACCCAGGTTATCTGTACTTTAGCTGTGCTGTTCATTTGCACCTCACTGAGTCTTTCATTTACAATGACATCAGCTGTTGCACTCCGTCCCTCCAGAAACAAAACTAATAGCAGTGGGTTAGGATTGCAAGCAAATCTGAAATGTGACATTTTAATTTCAGGACTCCAGTGTGGGCACATTACTGTGCTGACTGTTTTACACAAGGTGTTCCCGTGATCAGGGGGCAGAGGTGAGGCAGCCACTTGTGATTGCTAGCCCTTGATTTGAAGATATGCAGTCATTTTCCATTTTTGTCTGTTGATTTTTTTTTCTCCACCCAACAGGTCGGAGGGAATGAATATCTGTTAATGTCTTGTACTTGCATGTACTTGCACTCTGAAGGACATTGTATCTAGAAGACTTGTTAGAATTAGTAACAATTTAATTTTGTTCAGGTAATAACTATTTCAGAATGGATGTATAGAGACTGCATTTGTAAGCACTAGACATGTTAAAGTGAATTTTATTATGCAAGATCAATTAGATTATGAACTTGTAACACTTTTTGTCAGAAGGTGGTTTGCCTCGATACTTGCCTGACACATCCCTGCTTGTGGAGGACTGGTCTGGTGAATCCCGTTGTGTCACCTGGATGTCCACACTCTCTTGTGGTTTATGCCCGTCCTCATCTTTTGGAGTTGTGCCTGCTTGTCTTGCAGTTTTCGCTGTGTGACTCGGGCTTTTCCCACTTTTTTTTTTGAGGAAGGTGAAACAACACTTTCTACAATGGAAAGTCCCATTAAGCTCAGCATCTCCTCCCTGTTTCTCTGAATACATTTGAGGAAGTCAATAGTAAAAATTCTCCACATTAAGTATTGTTGTCTTATTCTTTCCTCAGTTATGTTAAGGCCAGGCTCTACAGAAAATAGGCTATGCTAAACCCAGTGTGATTTTGTTTCTTGTTTTAACAAATATTAAAATATTAAATATTAAATCAGCCTCAGTTTAATTTCTCCTCTCCTGAGAATTAGGGTACAAGTAACGTTCTAAAAACATTTTTTTTCTAAATTATGTAGCTAGGACATGCCTTAGCGATAAATCTGGTGAGTTATTTTACAGTCCAAAGCAATTAACTGTAAACGTAGTGTGTTAACACACCAGCAGTCTAGTAAAGTGATGGTTCATGCATGGAACTGTTTTTCTTCTTCTCCTCAGACCACATAAAACATACTCACTTCCCTTCCCTCACTCCACCACGTCGCCGCTGCGCTGCCTCGTTAATCAATCAACACGGCTGGCAAGGAAAGCGTGATGAAAGGTGCTGTGGCCAGCAGGCCTGCTGTGTGTTTGGGGTTTGCCTCTCCACTGGTCTTCCCTGACCGAAGGAGGGGTGACAACTCACTGTCCCCCTACTCAAGATAGGGTCTGTTTCTGGACAGACAGACGAAGAAAGGTTAGATCAGAGAGCAGGGGCACCTCGAAAAACTGCTGTGAACGGCCGGTGAAGTAATTTAATACTTGATAAGTCCTGTACCTGTCTGCAGAGAAAACTGTCCTCCTCACTGATGATAGATCATAAACTTAATTATCCAGATTTGCATTGTACAAAGCCTGTATGAACTAGTGGCATGTAAACATATATATAAATATATTTCTTTCGTTTTTGTTTTCATGGCTATTTGACTGTGAGGTTTGTCTTCTGTTTCATAAAGTAGTGGACATATCATACCTGTAAGAATCTAATTTTAAATGTACAGTACATAGCTCCAGTGAAGTAATTATTCTCAACACTTACATTACAGGAGTGACTGAATCAGCTGCAGTGAAACTGCCATTGTGTAGCAGTTATATTTATTAGTATTTCTGGTTACAAAAACAAAACAAAAAAGAACAATCAGGGAAAAATCAGGTTAAATGTGAAATCTGGTTAAATGATCACTCTAGTGTAATAAAGGTGAGACTTCACTTGCACACAAGACATAAATAAAAACATTACTCCCTCGTACTTGAGCGTGGACTTGTCTGTAGTGTCGTTCGGAAAACCCGTTACCTCAGTTGAGCTCATGATGTCACGGAAGCCCCCTCATTTTATAAGTCTTCTCACAGCTCTGCAGACAGAGGAAGTGCATTTGATGTTGTGGGATTGTTACACACAGCATGAACATGGCTCTGAGGCTGCTGTCTCTCTGTCTCGCTTTTCTGACTGCAAAGGGTAAGTAGAAACACTTCTTCATTTTTGAAAAGCAATTTCTTGACATACTGTAGCTACGTATGATATAAGCAATACTGATTCTATAGAGTAAAACACATGCCACTCGTGGTATTTATTTAATTGTAATAGTTCTGCAGTACCCCTTGTCAAACAGAAAGCAGTGTGAAGTAATTCAGGGTCTGAATCTTAACCAAGGGGTCTTTGGTCCATGTCCCAGAGTGGTTATTACACCTGTATCCTGGATAAGAGCGGCTTTTCTCTACGTTTTCCAGGAGGTCAGCTGTGTAAACAGAAACCAAGATTTTGTTTTGGGGCAACTTGCAATGGACTTTTGCAAAAGCTATGTGGATTCTTGTACTCTTGGGACTGTTTACCTGTACAGTATTCACATGATATTCTGAACCTGTGACCACCTCGGACTTGGAACAAGTTCCAACAATATTAACACAATATTGTGTTCCAACAATATTAACACACTTAACTCATATAGAAAATACTATGAGTTCTTTTACAGTACAAGGCAGCACTGGTTAATACTTACAATTAGATATTCAAGTGATATTCTGTAAGCTTCGGATTCTCAAGGCAAATACTGTATGTCAGAATGGTAATGGTTTTTGTCCGCTGAGACATTTTCACACTTGTTGTTCCCAGTACACAATCATGCAATGGAACCAGTAATTCACCACACTGGACATCTGTGTCCCGTGTTTCAGGGTCGATTGGGCCAGTACAGACACAAAAACGAACTGTGGTCTGAAACAGAAAAGTACATTCTCTCCTGTGTTTGTGGTTCAGTACAATAGGATTGATAAAGATTAACCCACATCCTGAACAGAAGATTTCACAGTATTGATAACAGCGATTTCCTTAACCAAACTCAGAGCAGTTATAGTAAAGTAGAGATTGGCATATATCTACGTGTACTGTGTTAATTCAAAAAACCTTCCATCAGTGTAATGGCCCTAATGTATCCATAAAAACATAACAAAAATAATAATGATAATGTATGACTAAACAATTGTCAAAATGTGCAATCTGTTACAGAATCCGAGAAAAAAGTACAGGATTTTTTCCCCCATTGATTATTACATTTTGTGGGTAAAGACACTTGCTAGCTGAAGAGACAGAGAAGCCATGAAAGGTGATAGTACTACAGAACGTGATACAGTATTTGGCTACAGGCTGGCTTTGAATAGTAACGAGTGACTCACTTTGTCTATTGACTCTTCTGACTCAGTCTGAGGCTTGACCACTGTCCGGAAGGGGTGTCGTGATCTCCCTAGGCCCTCGGTAGGCATTAAACAACACATCTGGGATCTCTGCACTGATTAGATAGACAGATGCCTTGTTTGGATTACGTAAGCTTTTCATTTTGAATTATTTGTCAGATTAAACTATTTACTTTCAAGTAAACATGTGAAATATACAGTATACAGCGGAAAGCAAATTCTACTGTATTCTACCGCAGCTGCTTGAATTTGGCTTTTCCAACGAGCAAAACTCATTATAAATGGTCTGAAATTCATCCAGCTACATGGTGTCGGCTTTGATTCTTGCCACCTAGTTGCTGACATTAAAAATTAGTACTTTGGCAAGTAACAAAGACCGCGGAACGCAGAAGTATTTTCTGCATTGTGAGTCAGACAAGAGTGGCAATTTCAGGACGTTAGTGTGGTCTGAGACTGAGAGGGGGTGCAGAAACGCCTTTGACCTTTCCACTGCAAACTTTCCCCAGCCCACCAGCAAAAGGTGCGAATTAGCCCCCTTATCCCTTAAGCCCACCACACCATTTACAAGAAAAAAGAAAAGCCCTTATAATAAGTGGCTGCACAAGGCGGTGGAAGCATTGTTTCTCACATTATTTCTGCACGTGACTTTTCTAGCTCGTAGTGCCACCACATGGCATCCTGCTGTGAAGACAGCCGCTCGAGCCAAACCAGCAAAGCTGAAAGTCCCCATCCCCCCGTCCCCACACTCACGGGTGTGATGTGTGTAGCTGTAGCCCACAGGGCTGCGGACGGTTAGCTCTCCGCCGCGCTCGTTTTCCAACACTGGGCCCAGATTCTGAACCAGCTGAGTGGGAGACACTTGGCCTAAATCACACACTGCTACTGCCTCCACTGACCCACTGGCAACTGCCTTCTCGAAGAAGGCTTCACCTTCTAGAGATGTTTTCCCAATGGTGCTTCTTTATGTTACCTTTTTTACATTACACATGACATTTATTCTGGCAGGAGCAGCCCATTTACAGTATATATTGACATTGATTGTCTACTCCATGTTCACAGTACAATATGCTGATATTTATTATACTGCACGCGGATGCACTGGGACAGTTGATTTGCAGTGGCAGTATATAGGATCTGATTTTATAGAAAGCTTTGGACTAATCTGAAGCTTGGATTAAGAGGAAGTTTAATCTATCTTCATTAGAGCGTTCTCCAAGAACATTTGGCTGGTTTTGAGTTATTTTTTTTTCAATGCCTATGTCTCCCATCATGTTAGAAGATAATGAAATCCTGGCCCAGGATTGGGCTGAGCCACATCTTAATAAATCATTGTTTTTAAAAGGCCGAGCCATCTTCTCCTCTGCCCAGAGATTGAACAGAACCTCCTTCCTTTTTCCCAGGGAGCTCCATGGTGGCGGAGAATGTGACAGTGATGGAGGGGGAGACTCTCGTGTTGAATTGCACTGTTGATTCTGGAGACAGGTCACACCTGGAGTGGAAGAACCCACGTGGCTTTGTGGTGTTTTTTAACAATATGAAAGGTGAGTGGGTAACAGCTCTGTCTCTCCACTATAAAGGTTAATAGCTAATTGTCCAGTTGACACCTTCATTTACAGAAAACGTCATCAAATGCCCCCACACGAATGTTGCCCACTGTTGCGGCAGCAGACGGTCTTTTATCTACCGTACCTACGCGCTTCCTGTGCATGGTGGGAAACCAGACAGGGCTCTGTGTCAGCTATGGTTTGACTACCCTAGACTCTCAGCCCTGACACTCTTATTCTGAATCAGTCAACTTTCCACTTCGACCAGTCTCTGTGGAACCTTTTCAGCGTGGCCCCCTCTGCGGTATCTGAAAGCAAGAACAGTCCTGTGCAGGGGGTTCCTGTCCACACACCCCTTCAGTTAAGGCAATGGCGAAAAGAAAGCCCAGAAAAGACCTCTTTGAGACGCTGAGTCCAGTACCTGCAAATGCAAATAAGAAGAAAACGAATCCAGCTGCTCTTTATGAAAATCAAAGACCCCAGAGAGTGCATTTTATTTAAAGAAAATATGGTCAGTTGGATATTTTTGGGAAAAAGCACACACATACGCTGTCAATTACAGAGGTGTGCTTCTGGGCTGTCATGCATTGAATCTTACTTCTGTACACAAAGGGTGGTGGCCGTCTGGAACAAGTTACCCTGCCATGTTGTGGAATCTGATGTGTTGGCTACTTTCAAGAACTGGCTGGATGAGATCATGGGATCAATTAGTGGCTCACCATCAAATCAGCCAGACGGGCCTGAAGGCCTGCTCTCCTTTGTTATCTTCTTGTGCAGGGCGATTCAGTCGAGGCTTAGGTTCCAGTGGATTGATATGATCATTCATGGACGCCGAAGGTGTCAGTCGCCTGTAGAATATAATTAGATATAATTTCTGGCCATGAAAACGTTTTTATTTTGCCTTGGCAAGCCTTAGGTTACTCAGAACAGGCACAAAACTAGAAAGATTTAAGCAGAATTCCCGATCTCTCATAGGCAAAGCTGTCTAGGATCAAATATTTGCAAGGTAGAAAGGACATCATTAATTCAATATTCACAATATGTCAGTGGTGTGTACTTTAAAATGACTGCTGTTGATTTTTTCTTTTCAGATTAGTAATGTAAGTGCATATGTTCACTCTTGTTTTGTAGCTCTCAGAGATAAACGCTACAAAATTGCCACCTGGTCACCCTCAGAGTTTACCGTAACTCTGTCGAATGTCACCACAGGAGATGGAGGCCTGTACAAGTGTCTACACTACATTCATCCTGTCACAACCAAGGCAGTCAATGTCACGGTTATAGGTAATTAACTGATTTGTCTGTTTGCTCATTAAAATGCTTCTCCCCATGACTAGTTGGAGTAGAAAACGGAACTACTTCTAAATTATTTGCACTGCCTCACGTTTTCTCTCTTTTTTAACATTGCTTTTTTAAACACTTTTAAATCTACATATTCTTAGAAATCATTTTTATATTAAAAAAAAACATGAGCACTAAGACTCACTTCTTGGCATCAGAACTGTTTTCTTCTCCAATTGTGAGGAATCAAGCCACAGTATATTTTCTGGTTTGTAAATCAGACACCACTCTGATGCTAAAAGTTTCAAAATCTGTCCTGGTAATCATATAGTTAATTTCTGGAAATATTTTTGCTTTGAAAAAAAAAAGGATTTCGATGGATCTTGCACTAATTTGTCTTTCTCAATAACCCCCCCAAGGTCGCCCAGCACTGGAAATGAGAGAAGATAAAGGCAGAAAGATAATAAAGTGCACTGCAGAAGCAAGCTATTCTCCTTACAGAATATCATGGCTGATTGAGGGTGGATTAGAACTGGACAGTAAGTACTGTGTGATTCTCCTCCTTTCTGACCTGGGACGTTCTAACATTCCCGTTATGCTTAAGGGATTTTCACCAGGACGAGAACCATATGATTTCTGGAAAATAAGAAAAGTTGTTTTCCTTGAAAACTCAGAAGTTTCAATGTGACTTGTGATAAAAATAATAACAATTCTTGGACACTTCTCACACTCATGGAAAATGGCTAAGGTCACAAAATGCAGAAATGAGGCAGTGAAATACCAAATGCTGTAAATTCCCCTGGAATTGGAATCCAATTCTCTCCAAAATTAAACGAAGTGAAAGTTTTGTATTTCCCCTCTGTTCAGCTTCTGTTCATGGTGTTTGTAGTTCTTGTCTGTGGTAAAAAATAATTAAACAATTAAAGTTTTGTAAAAGGAATCATGAAATTTCAAACTGACGCATCTTATTTCTGGCATGAAATGTCTTATTTAAGAATAGCATACAGCAGTTTTTGTATTAGTGTAGATTACGATATAAAATTATACCACATGTACATAGATCTGTGGGCTTGAACTAACCGATGGCTTGTTTGTGTTTCCCTCTTTGATTTAGCATACTCCCAGGATCACTGTGACGAAAAGACCGCAAAATGCACTTCAATGGGCACCTTGGTGATCAGATCTCAGAAGAGCAGAGTGACAGTGGAATGTATCGTTCGGCACGAAGCTCTGAATAATGCACAGCCATATCTGAAGGCCTCCCTCACTGTGGAGAAGAGCTGTAAGTATTCCTGTTGGTTGCTCAGAATTTCTTACATTTTCTCATACACATATTTATCTCTGTACTAGGGGACGGCCCAGCAAAAGCTGTTACATGCATTTTCTTCGCTAGTTATAAACCTGCGTTATTTCAGGCAAAGTAAACCCACAAGAAAACGAGAGTTTATAGCTCCTGATTTCACAGTGTGTGTTGGCCATGGAATTAGAGAGTGGCAGCGGACACCAGGTCAGGCGATTTGGAAAGGTTAGTCAAGGTAACCGTGCAAAACCTGATACTGGGATGAACTGTGTTCTCTGTTGCTGTGTTCTCTGATACTCCCACAGCGTTTCCTTATCTACTTCAGCTACTTCACCTGCTGGTACAAAGACCAAAAACACAAAGAAATGAATGGACTTTTTTTTGTAGGACACTGTATCTTGTGGCATGTAGTTTCTTGAGGTGTTTATTCAAACTTGTTCCTGTTGTTCAAAGTTGTTCCAAAGCTGAGAAAGCACCAGTGGTTCCAATAAATTCATTATGTTCGCCATCCAGTGGGCGGTGAGTTGCAGAGGGAAGGAAAGAGGGCCTAGGGATTGCGGTTAGTGTATGGGGATGACGTAGCTGCCTTGTGTGGGCCTTATTTGGACTGTGTTTTCCCTCCAGCCAGTCTAAAATTTCGTAATGACAACAGTCTGGTGACAGCCACGGGCACTTCATCTGTCAAGGGGAAAAAAAAAAAGTTGTACCTCGTGATTTCTAATAGAAGAGACTTCTGATGAGTTGTAGTCAGTGTCATGTGTGAAATGTCAAAATTGCAAGGGGAGAATTTTGATGGCACTTTCACTTTAGTTTATTGTGCATTTTAAACTGAGGCCAGCTCCTCTGATGCAAGTGGCCTGCTGTTTGCGGATCGTTCTGCCAGGTTTCCTCACCTCAAGGCAGCACACCTCCTTAACAACTGTACACCACTGCGTCCATTAGCTTCATCTAAACTTACAGTATATTCTATGTGTAGATGAGGCTTTTGTACACGAAAACCAAATAAAACATTTTTTCAACTGTGTCTGACAGTGTTCCTATAAGCTGCATGAGTAGTCTAAGCAAAAAGCGCTTAATGTACTGGTACTTTGCTTTGTTTTAGAAGCAAAACACTACAAACTCTTGTGAAAATTTGGATAAGGTGGCCCAGAGTAGTTTACTGTGCCTCTCTATGTTCTTGATGTTTTGAATTCTTTAATACGCACTAATATTGCGTTCCTGTACAGTAAATATGTTTTCACATGTGTATGCATTTTTTTAGATGACAAAGGACTGCTTTCAACATCAACAGTCGGCTATTCCACTAGCACAGAAGCAACTGCAGCGACGCTGTCAGAGACAGCCACAGTCTTATCTTCCAGCACAGAAAGTAAGTTTCAAGTAGACAAATACTGCTTCATTTGGGTGTTGAACATTACTGTCAAGATTGTACTATTGTTTCATTGTTATAAGTATCGGAACGTGGCAATCTGATCTGACTGTGGTCTGTTTGGTCTGCGCATATGCCAGGCCACACCACACTCATTCTCTTGCTGTCATTTTAGAATTAGGAGTCCTCAGCCATCAACAAAGCAGACAATATAATGTCTTGGGTGTTACTCACATCCAGACAGACAGAAAGATGTATAAAATCTGAAAAAAAAAAACATCTTTGAGGAGTGAATTAGATGGCGGGGTGAATAAAGTTACATTTATTGGATTAAGCAAGCTTTTTTGCACCGGGGGATAAAGGGCATCTGAAGCAAGTCTTACATATTTTGTGTTTTATTCAGCTGAAGAAAAGGGCCTCAGCTCGACATCAACTGAAGAGTACAGTATGGGCTCCTCGCCGCCGTCTGTGCTCACACAGGAAACGATAACCCGACTTCCTGAAACTGCAAGTGAGTACCAAAATTAAACAATGAACCAGCTCTGCAAGCTAAAAAGAAGTTGCAAGCTGCATTTAAGAACAGATTCGATATCTGCGCCAGAACTCAAGCCCGTTTCTTTTTTTAAATTCAGTATACTATTGTGTGGACAGCTAAGTAACAATAAATGCAGCCTCTGAAAGAAACAATAGATATTCAACTCTCATTTACATGCTCTTTCTATAGACATTTATAGAATTGTTCTTGTACCTTAGCACAAAGAGTGTTACTTCTGTTAAAGTATTGTGTACATTTCTGAGGTGCACCTTTTCGACAATTTACACAAATGTGGATTACCAAAAAAGCATACAAACATCTAATATTGAACCTGTTCTTTAAATCTTTTAGTTAAACGCACCCTATTATAATTAAAATCTGGCTTTCGACCTACTCAATACAGAGCCTTAAGCCCTGATTGCCTCCTACGTGAATATATGTGTCATATTGACACCTAGTGGCAAAAGTGTACATCTCCAACGCAAGACGACGAATCAAACGTAGGTAGGTTCAGCACTCAGGAAATGAATGAGTCAGCATCCGCAACAGGACTGTTTGCTTAGCAGTTTGTTCCGTATTGTACATCCACAACCGCCTCCTGAAACACAATCTCTCCATCTCGCAATCATGAAATTAGCTGCAACCGACATTCCAGTGATTGCTTATTCATTCTTGTCTCTCTGTTCGCAAGGGGGAAAAAACATGTACTGTATTTAATAAGTATGAACTGTTTTTTAAAAAGATATCCCATTTCACAAGGAAGAATTTTCTTGTCTTCAAACTAAAGCTAAAGGACACATCCACTCTGCCTCTGATTCACATCATGAATAACTATTCATTACAAGATCAGACAATTGCCTATAGATTAAAATTCCAAGAATAATGATTTGGTGATATTAATAATAATATTAAAGTATTATTCTGATTCATCTGGTGTATCCCAGAATCCCATCTAGTTCAAAGACCAATTATACATTTCACTCTGAGTTACATATTAAAGGAGTCAATCATTTGTTCATTTGTAAATATTATGAAATGACTCACAAACTGGACAACATTTTTATTCCAGAAAATTGCCTTTTTGGCCAATGTCTGTAACGGGATTTTGCCCAAGTGTACAGTACTCTTTTATTAGACAGAAAGAGCAGTGTTTTAAATATTTCAATACTTCATTGCAGTGCTGTCCAGTCCTGTAACTGGAGGTCTGATGTCTCTGAAGGTTTTCTAGGTTTTATTTTAAAGTTGCTGCACCTGAAGATCTCATTTGTACCTGGTTAAATATGTCACAACAAGTTTATTTAGGTTGTTCACTGCTGAGTTGTAATGAAAACATGCTATGCAGGTCTGTGCTATTTTTGATTACACTAAAGAAACAAAAATAAGTTAATAAATATTTTTTCTCTTTTTTCAGCAACAGCATTGTCTACTGATTTTACCAGCACATCAAACCATCAAACACCTGAGACAGACATTCATGAAATAACAAGAAACTACACCTATACTGCAGCCACAAGTAAGTTACCAGAGCCATCTAGTCAAACAAGTCAATTTGCAAATTAAAATGCAATAGTCATAATTTTCACATTTAGAAATTGTGCCTAGAAGCAGTAAATGGATATTCCAAGATCAACAGGGGCAGAGTTATAGGGGAACGGTATTTTCCTAATTATATGCTAAGGGTATTTGATATAAAGCTGGCCTCTAACAAGATGGCCGACCGGACTTTCAAAATGGAGGGCCAAGAAAACGGTCTACCTCTCATCAAGAGAACCCGAAACACCTGCGCTCCGCGGCAGGCTATATAAGTCGCACCCCGAGAAGCCAATACTGTGCAAGTCATCTCTGTGAAAGCGTGGAGAGCGTTAGGAGAAAGACGGTGGGGGGAGAAGAAAAGTGATCTTTTCGTTTTTGATCCCGGGTTGTCCTACGGATTTGTTTTATTGTTTTAGTCACACGACTTGTTTACGCTGCTGGTTGTAGGAGTTGCTGGTCGGAAACACTCTGGCAAAGAGGATTAGGAATTGCAGCTCGTTCCTGAAAAAGACTTGGCTTATCCCACACTAGGAGAAATCAAAAGCTGTGGTTATTTCTCGGAGCTACACTGAGTGATTATCATTACCTCTCGCCAGCCCCTAGTTGCATTACGATATTCATAAGCCTGTTTTTTCTTACGTTCACGATCTTTCTCGAAGCGAAAACCTTTTCTGGCTGTAGGGCAAGAAAAGGCTGAAGCATTAAACTGGAAGTCTTGGGTGGTATTTAGACTGCTGCTGAATGTTAAAATGATTTACAACGAATGCTTTGTGTAACAGTCGTGTGATCTACAAGCTCATTCTATATCGTTTTAACTCCTTTTTCACAAAGACAGCAGACTGCCTAAATCTGCGCTTTTTAGTGTTCTATTAAAACTCTAAAATCCTCTTTTCAGATGAAACCTACACATCCTCGGTACCTGCAGCAACAGAACTAGCAGAAGGAAATGCCACCACTAACTCCAGTGTGGAAGGTAGGAAAAGCCATTATTTCTTGCTTTTTTTGTGACTTTTGTTTAATTACCAATGCATGCAATTGTACCAATGCTCCTGGTCCATCTAGGAAGTCTGTGGGGATTATGGGGCTGTGATTTTAATTACCCTTCTTCCCTTCCTACACTCCCTGCACACATGGTGAAAAGTTGCCTTTCTCTTTAAGTACTCCTAATGTCAATTAATGGGTCTGAAATGCTCTTCCCAGCACATCAAGAATGTCACCTCCCATAACTATTTATTATAACTTGGTTAATCCTAATAACATTGTTGCATCTAATTTTAAAATGATCTAGCTTTCTGGAGGCTTAGGATTTTTTTTGCACATCTCGGTTGAACATACGCCAGTCAGAGTGGGACATTTTAGATTTAGTTGCAAACTTTGAGTAAAACATTTCCCTAAACTCAGCTGTAAGGGAATGGTGATTGGCACAGTTACTGCAATGTGGTTTTATTCTGAAATGGGGAAACCAGCTTTTAGGCTGGAAACCAGTAAAAAATTAAGTAGGCAGGAGAGATGCACTACCCTGCTCATCACTGGGTGTAAGGCACAAGCAGCTTCACCATATTTCCCACTTTTTGTTGTTTAAACTGACTTTAGATCTTTAACAGCTGCTCCCATTTTTGTAAGCTGTCCTCAGTTCTTGCTTTGTGGCTTCACTTCCTGTATTTTAAGTGAAACTTTGGTATTAAGGTCTAATCACATGTAATGATGCAAAGCAAAAACACTTAGTTGAAAGCATTATAGAAGTTAACCATTGAGATGTGACCATGCTGCTTAATTTACTCTTATGCTGGTTCCATCATTTGGTTGTGCTTGGACATGCACTTACTGTGTTCCACTGGTCCAAGGCCATCGCGCGATGCGGGATGGTGTTTCAAGGAGACAGTTGCTGTAGTGCGCTGTTTACTCAAGCACCAGTGTGATCCATGGCATGATAGAACTGCAGGGATTCAAGAGGGGGGGGGGGAAATATGATCAAACCACAGATGCAGTGCACAACTAGTATGACCTCTGACTTTCATTATGAAAAAGTCAACTCCTTTGAAATGTTAATTTTAATAACGTGCCCTGGTGGCATAATACACTTCCAAACAGGGAAATGCCTTAAAAATGAAGACTTCAACTTGAGCCATTAACTATTAACCTCGGTAGTATGAGGCGCTCTGTCCTCCAGGAGTGCTCAGGTGGGGATCTGAGGGGGTGTAACTGAACGCGTCCAGCGCCTCTTGTCGCGGAGGAAGACCGCTCAGCCGTGAATAACTCCCCGACTCTGCGCTTCCTTCCAGCGGAAGGCCATGACGGTGCGAGACGGAGCAAGAACGGCACCATGCTCATCGTCCTGGTCACCGTCCTGATCGCCTGCCTGCTGGTCGTCGTCCTCTTCTTCGTGACGAAGCTGAAGAAAGCTCATGCCCAGTGGAAGAAAGGTGAGGGGCAACTCCGTTGTGGCACCATCCATTCCAACGGGGGATCTCGTACAGAGGTGGAATGCCTTGGCAGGAAATGCATCTTTCAAAGTAATGCATTTCCGTAACTTAAGGGCAACACCACTGACATCTCAGGTGGACCTCATCAACATGCTAGCTGACCAACTAGTCAATCTGTTGGGGGGGGGAAGCCAGCTGACTGTGCTCATTCATGGGTGACGCTATTGTTCACCTCTGTTGCTGTTCCCTTTCATAAACAGAAAATGAAGACTGGGATCAGTCCCTGGAGAGCAACAAATCGAAATCGAGCAACGACGACAAAGGCCAAGAAAGGAAAAATGGTCAAGGTAATGCCTCATGATGGGTCAATGCTCTGATTTGGGGAGAATGATTGAAGGCAAAAACTCAATGCTTTTTAAAACCTATTAAGAACCTGAATTTTTTTTTTAATTGGCCATCTGCAATTTCTTGTATTGGGGAATTTCCTTTCATGCAAGTACCATAGTTTAATTTGCAGTCTCATCTTCAGGGAACCCTCAAATTCCTTTCCCCTCCCCCCAAAAAAGGAATAAAACTCATCCTTCTGAAATTAAAATCTTAAATATTATGGGTATATACACTATACCCATGTATCTTATGGGTTTACGTTAGTATGCAAACAAGGAAATTAAATCTATGCCTTTTTTTTTTACAGTTCCTTACAATACCACCTTCATGAAGTACACTGTTGAGGTGCACACGGAAATGGAGAAAGACACAGAACAGGCAGCACCCCAGATTCTGGAAACCTCAAAACAGCCAGAGGAACCGGCGCCTGCTGCCGGCTTGGACACCGTAAGGGAGACCGCAGTGTAGGACTGCGGGACGTGTCCTCCTGTACGCTGACTGCACCGAGCACTTTGCACTGGGCCAGATACTGTGAAGAGGCAGGAGTGGCTTCCTGGAACTGAGGGAACGGTTCAGTGCCTGGAGCCCCGCCTTAACGAAACGGCTGCTATTGCAAATTAGTTTAAGGGATCGGGGATCAGTTGTCCTGGCCCACTGTTCACTAATCCTCCCTTAACATTGTATTGGTCTTCTTGATAATAGGACCAAGTCTGTGTGGACCATTTTGTAAATGGTTTTGTCAATTTGTAAATGGTGTTTTATATGTGATATTTATTGTTCTTTATGTAAAGAATAAATTCATATTTTTCTATCTGGTTTGGCAATTGTCCTTAAATTATCATTTCCTGGAAGCCTTATTTTGATATTATTGAAAGTAACATAAGCGCCTAGAACGACAATCAGTGGTTTAAGTCTCCTTGGGGGGGAAGGTGCCCTGTTAATGATTGTTTAATGGGTATTGCTCTCTATTTCTGTGCTGTGACTCTTCTTGAATAATCCTAAATTTATCAACCACAATCTCTTAGCAGCAGCAGCAAAGCCGAAATCATTTGAAACCTATTTTCCTGATCATGAATCATGAAGGTCAGGAGTTCAAAGTTCACCACCCAGCTGTGGTGGGATTCCTGATGCAAGTACCAGGGAGAGATTAGGCTTCAAGGACTCTAGCTAATGCTGACCAGAAACATGACTGTACATAACTGCTGGACGGGCCTAGAAAGGGCTGTTTGCTTTGAACATCCTACATGTGCATAACATGCAGTTGAAAATGGTTTCTTAAGAGTGCCTATGGATGACAATCTGGCGCCTGCAGCAGCACAGGAATGCGGTTTTGAGAAACTGCAGCGCTTTGCCAAAAAGCCCCTGTACATCGCCTCCTCCCTATGAATTTTTACGATTCACGATGCTCTCCCGAAGTGTATTTCTGGATTTGTAAGGCTTCACGTTTCCCTTTAAAGGCGCCCCTTTCGTTAAAACCATTACCAGCCCCGTGTTATGCTTCTTGTAAAGGAAACGCAGACGGTTAGTATTGTTCCGAGACGGCAGTGCATTTCTCATTGGGTTTTTTCTGCCTTGGGGGGGAAAAACCAGTTATCCAAAGTTTAACTGCATCTCGAATGTACTGGACTTCACGAAGCGAAAGTGAGGCTTTCGTGGTTAAATGAAACCGGGAAGGGTTAAGACGGATAAGTGAATTTGTTACTAAGAGTTTAGACAGGGGAGAAATTACCACAGTTAATTGGGGGGGGGGGGGCGATTTAATTCAAATTCAAGAAAAACGACCAAGAGAAAAACAACCGAGCTGCGGTACAACAACTATTCTTATTCTTTAACGCGTCTGGACAACTTCAGGATCTGTTGTATCGGCTACATTAGCTTCATGCAGTTGAGGGACACTGGAAACGAGACTTGCGCAGAGGGGGCTCCCCTGTGTTCTGTGCAGCGCTTACGGCCAGGAAACCGGAAACAAGACATCAATTCAATTCAATTCAAGGTGCTTTATTAGCATGACCGATAGGTACGATCAGTGTTGCCAAAGACATCTCTGAGTCTCCAGCCCGGACACGCCGCGGCATGACTGAGCGCAACGACACAAATACCTGTTGATTATACACTGTTGGCTCATGTACTGGCAGGACACTCGCACGCTGCCTGAGTCTGGGGGGGGGGGGTGTGGAAGAAAAAAAAAGAAGCTAGATGAAGAAATAATTTTGGCTAGCCATACCTTGCAGCACATTGTTGGGACACATTGCCGGTGTCGTAAAGTAAAAAATAGTGTCAAAGACATCCTCTTCTCCAGCCCCTCTTACTCCCTCTGCATCATTGAACAATATTATTAGAACCGCCCAAACTTGGTTACACAACCTCCCGGCACGCCAGGGATTGGCTGCTAACCCCCCCGCATTAATTTCTCGCAAACCGGCCTGTCGACTCCCTCTGCTGTTGCCCTGGCGGCCATCTGCTCGCCCTTCCTCCCCGGAAGGAGGAGGGCGGGGGAGGCGGGGCCACCGCCGCCGCGCCGAGCGGTGACTGGTGGACGCCGCCTATCAGTCACCGCAAACCGCGTCGTGCGATTGGCTGGGCGGTTGGCGTGCCCTTCTAGAAGGTTCCACAGGCTCCCTTCCCGCTGGTTATAAGGCTCGGAGGGGCTAGTCGGCGGCCGCTTACTCAATTCAACGGATCATCAGCACCTGCGACCGGTAAGAGCACACGGGCGGCCTAACCGAAAACGGCTTTTCGAAAATATAGAATAAGGCATTTCTAGAGTGTGCGATTTTTTCCCAGCCTTGTGAAACTGCCGGGGTTATGCGTTTAGAAACGGGAGCTTTTTGAGCGGCGTGGGGAGAGAACCATGTCTTTCAGTTTCCGACTCGTACGAGCGATCGCCGAGTAGCCAAAGACTTAAAAAGACAGACATTTCGCGCTGTTTTATCGCTTGTCACTTCTGCGGATTCGCTGAAGGTCCCGTAAAAGAGCCTTTCCGAAATAAACGAGTGAATAAGCCGTCCAGTTTAAAACGAAGGACGCTGGCTCGTCAGTAAAGAGGAAGACGGAGTAGAGGCGCTTGCTCGCTCGTGTTGGACGAGCCTGGTGTTGCTCCCAGCGCCGGGAATTGATGATGATGATGATGATGATGATGATCCATCCTGGGAAGAGTGAAGCAGGAGGCGGCTCTTGGAAACCTCTCCTGTGCCGTCAAGACAAATGCCGGCTTTAAGAATAGGGAGATAGGGGGGAACGGCAAAATGTCTTAGTCTGTAATAAAACAAAACGAGGGTTAGCTGCGTGGGAAGCCGCGGTCGGAGCGCCTATCGAGGGCCGTGCCGGGGTGGCCGCGGTCGGGGGGTGTAGCGAAGCGGGCGATGAGGCCGCTCTCGCCGGGGAGCGGGAGGCGGAAGCGCACCCTCAGGCAGGGCACGTGCTCCCAGGCGGAGAAGCTTCCAGAAGGTGACGTGACGCATCGAGCCGTGACGCAACCCGCTGCCCGGCCAGAGTCCCGGGTGGGGCGGGGTCTCCCCTCTGCGTGCGGGCGCCGAGGCCCCGGAGGCTTGACTGGGCGGCCCTTGCAGTAGGGGAGGATCCCCCTGGTTTTTCCCCAGCGCATGTGGAGACGCCATGTTCCTCCCACGTGTTCGGGTTGGAAGCTGTTGAGCAGGGCAGAGGCGGTCTGCTCACCGTGTCCTCCGTGAAGCAAGATCGCGGCTTTGTAAAGGCGCAAGTCAACAGAGATGCTTGTCCTCTCCTGAGTGTTGCATATCTTTTATTTTAGGCATCATGTCTAAGGGACCAGCAGTTGGAATCGATCTGGGCACAACCTACTCCTGTGTAGGTGTCTTCCAACATGGCAAAGTGGAGATCATTGCCAATGACCAGGGCAACAGGACCACACCCAGTTATGTTGCCTTCACCGACTCCGAGAGGCTGATCGGTGATGCAGCAAAGAACCAGGTTGCAATGAACCCCACGAACACTGTATTTGGTAAGCAAAGCACATTTCCTGTTGTATGTTGAAGACCAGTTATTTTGCCCTTTTTGCTTTATTGGAGTCAAGTGGTAGTAAACTAATGGTGCAAGTCACTGGCCTGCCTTGTGTGGTTTCTATAGTTAATAGAAAGTTTAAGTGTTCTACGCCAGGTCTGCTGCTTATGCTTAAAGTGCTTGTGTTTGTTTCAGATGCCAAGAGACTGATTGGTCGCAGGTTTGATGATGCGGTTGTACAGTCGGACATGAAGCACTGGCCGTTCACCGTGATCAACGACTCCACCCGTCCCAAGGTCCAAGTGGAGTACAAGGGCGAGACCAAATCCTTCTACCCCGAGGAAGTCTCTTCCATGGTGCTGACCAAAATGAAGGAAATTGCAGAAGCTTATCTTGGGAAGGTAAGTTTAGTGTGACTTCACAAGGGAATGGGGTGGTACATATTTGGAGTTCTTTAAATTGTCCTATAAATATTGCTCAGGAGAATAGTTGTATAACAGGTTTTCTAAATTAAATTTTAGTTATCATGTCTGTTTAGTTACTCTAAAACTGTTTAATGGCTGTTCTTGCATAATCTCACCAAACTTTATTTTGTATGCAGACTGTCACCAATGCTGTTGTCACTGTGCCAGCGTACTTCAACGACTCTCAGCGCCAGGCTACAAAAGATGCTGGCACCATTTCTGGGCTTAATGTGCTCCGGATCATTAATGAGCCAACTGCTGCTGCTATTGCCTATGGCTTGGACAAGAAGGTATTTGCATAACCCTGCTGTGTGCATTTCAACACAGTGGTGCTTTTAATTATAATAATGCTATGTAAAGTAGGTAATTTTGACCTGTGTTTTAAGAATTCTCAAATATTTAACTTATGCCCACATTGAGTGTGTTCGCTGTGATGAAGTCTATTCCTAAGCCATTCGTAGTTTCCACCAGAGGTTGAGAGACCAAAGATGGCCCAAGTACCTTCCTTGGATGTCTG